AAATTTTTCCCCCCAACTTCAGTATGTTTTATTTTAGAATCCTCTACGAGCATCTAGTCACCTTTTTAGTTTACTAAATTATTGAATAAAATGAGCAAGGTCATGGCCCCGCCCCAGATACACTGAGCCAGCCACCAAGACCTGACATGGTGGCACATGCCTGTAATCTCAGTGCTGAGAAGTCTGAAAACAGGAGGATCACTATTAGTCTAAACTGCATAGTGAGACCCTGTACCAAATATGTTTGAAAAAAAAGAGCAAGATCAGACCAGTTGGTTAATTCATGAGAACTAAATGAATAACTCATCATGTGTTCTGATTACCAGAAGAGGACTTATAATACAAAAATCAACAGTAGACAAGATTAATGAAACAATATGAATAAGAAGTAAATCAAATAAAAGGAAATAAATGAGAAATAAATTTCTAGTACTAAACTCCTGGATATTTTACTGTTTTTCCCCCATTGCATAAAAAGAGCAGATTACCAATAAAGAGAGCTAACAGATGTTGAAGTTAGATAGCAGAATCCTTCATCAGTTTATTTCTCATGATCCTACTAAAATGATGAAGTGATTGCTCATTGGCTAAAATCTGAGTGATGGTTTGAGACTGAAACAAGTCACAACCTTAGCTTTCAGCTGCATAAGGTATGCATATCTTTCACTTGCATGTCTTTTGGTTTTGAAGTTTCTTTTGTGATTACTATTTTTACATTCTGTGCCTCTGCACAAAACAGAACAGTTACTATAAGAGTTTATGATCATAAGCAGATGACATCTTCATCTATTGAAGTGATCCAACAGATAATTTATTAGCATTGGCTTTACTCCATCAAAATCATATTGAAGTGTGAAGACTGTATAGAGAGATGATCAACTAAATTAGTACTGTAGAAACTTGACCCTGTCAGCATTGCTTAGCAGTTAACAATAATTTAGCATTTACTCAGTAGCTACCTTTCTTAAGTGTTCTTCATGGACTACTAATCTTCCTAGCTGTCCTATGACAGCTAAGGTAGACTGATAAAGTAGTTATTAGACAGATAAGGTAGTTATGGTACTTTTACAGATCATGAAATTGATAACATTCATTCGTCAAAAGTCACAAGAGCAAAGAAACAATGGAGATGGGTTTTCAAAAGTTAACGTAAATAATGTCCCTCACTTGCTTTTTTCACTCAGCAGTATGTATGGTGTTTCCAAATGTTTTCATGGATTTGCTTAAGTAAACTATCTTGTTCCTGGTTATTGGGCATATAGTTTTCCTTCAGTTTCTTGCTATTTTGTATTATCATCATCATTATTATTATTATTATTTATTGATACAGGGTCTTGCCCATGCAGCTCAGACTCATAGTGATCCTCCTGCCTCAACCTCCCCAGTGCTGGGATTATAGGCATACACCACCATGCCCAGTTTTGGGACCTGTGACACAGTATGTGGTACTGGGGATTGAACTCGGGTCCTTGGGCTTGCCAAGCAAACACTTAGAACACCAGGCTATCTCTCCAGCCTTTTCTTACTATTTTGGATAATACTTGGCAAACTGATGATATAATATAGCCTTCCATGTATGTTTTGTGTAAAGGATTTGAGACCAATCTATGTCCCAGAGTCCTCCTTTTCTTCTACCTTCCTACCAATAATTTATTAAACTGGGTATGATGCCATACCCTGTAATTCCAGCACCTAGGAAGCTGAGACCTAAAAGCATAAAGATTTCACCAGTTGAAAGTCAGCCTATGGGGGATACAGATGAATGTCCATTTTGTATCTGTGTATTCAAAATGATTAGGATAGATACATAGTTACATTCTCTTAATGAATAGAGGGATTTGTTCTAATAGTGTTTGTAAATAAGATATCATGTCTGCATCTTGTACAGCAATTAACCACTAGGAAGAATGTATGCAATGTGTTAATTATTGAAACTGTCCTACCAATTTGGTTTGAAAAAAAAAAAAGAAAGAAAGAAAGTCCGCCTATGCTACATAGTGAATTCAAGGCCATTTGGAACTACATAGGAAGACCCCATCTTTTTTTTATTTTTTTGTAATTAGGACAGGGTCTACAAGGTCTCACTGCATAGATTGGACTCGTAGTGATCCTCCTGTTTTCAGCCTCCCTAGTACTGGGATTACAGGCGTGCACCACCACGCCAAGTCTCAATTGCTGTCTCAGCCCACCCCGGGGGCCAGGCCGGCATGGCAGGCCCAGGAATCAAACCCCCAGCCCCTGCATCTGCCTAAACAGGTGCTTTAATTTGCTGAGCTATTTGGCCAGCCTAAGACCCCGTCTTGAATGAAAAAAAGTTTTACCAATCTGAAAAGTAAAAATAGTATATAATTAGAATTTTTTTTTCATTACTAATGAGATTGAGTGCATTTTATAACCACATAGTCTATTTATTTATTTATTTATTTATTTTTGGTGGAACCAGGGATTGAATTCAGACCCTTGCGCTTGCTAGGGAAGCACTTATTCTACTGAGCCATCTCCCCAGCCCTATAACCACATAATCTGACTGTTCAGATTTTATAACTATGTACAGTTTTGTCAGTGTGGATTAATTGCATATTTTATTCATTCCCTTTTTATTAGTTTACAGGTTCTCTATTTTTTTATTACATGATATTGGAGATTGAACAGAGCTGGCTTTACTCTTGCTAGGCAGGTACTTTACCACTGAACTACATCTCCTTCCCCCACTCTCTGCCCTCATGTATTCCAGAGTGGCCTTGAATGTACTGTGTAGCCTAGGCTGACCTTAAACTCATAATGGTCCCGATTTAGCCTGTCGAGTGCTGTGATCATAGGGATGTGCCACCATACCTGATACTTGGCCCTTTAAAATATTTTTATTTTAAAAATAATAAAAAGATACAGAATTTCAAAACAAGATGATAGGAAATCAGCAATGATTATTACATTACATAATGTTATCTTCAAAGTAGTTGCTCATATTAATAGATAACTGCATGTAAGATTGATGAAACAGTATAAACACTGTTCCTTTAAATGAAATAATAGAAATTGATAGTACAATTATCTTAGCTATCAGATCCAGCCTTTTTTTTTATTGTCCTTTGAGACAAGGTCTCTCTAAGTTGTCCTAGGTAGCCTGGAACTTGTGATCCTCCTCCCTCAACCTTCTAAGTAGATGGTATTACAGGTGTGCCTCACTATGCCCGGCTAACCTGTTACCTTTTAAATATTGCTAGTGTTTTCACCTATCCCATTTGTTTTTCAATTTTGTTTATGGTTATTTTTGACCATGTGTATTGTCTGTGTTGTCACTCCTTATGTTTTCTTTTTAGATTAAGAATGTTCTTTCTGAAAGCACAGATTTGTTTTTTTCCCTTCCTTGCTTCTAATTGAGAGACAATGTAGTGATGCGATCATAGAGTAGAGACATTTTGCTAGGGACCTGGCTGGCTCAGGTAACTTGTGAAGCTCATAATACTGATACCCACCTTGTGGAGTTGGATAGTGTTAAATTTAGGTGCTGGATCAGTGCCCATCACATAATCAGTCCTCAGTGAAGATTAGCTGCTGCCCAGTCTCATGTGCCACTAACTCTGTTGGCTTCCATGCTGCAGCTCCAGTGGCTTCTCTCGCTCTTCCTGCCTATAAGTCTGTGTTCTTTATTCCTCTTCATTGCTTTTTTTTTTTTTTTTTAGTTGCTATTTCCTCCATATACTCAGTTTAAATGTCATTTTCTCAGGGACATTTAATGACCTAGTTCAAGTTAAGCCTGCCTTTATGTTCTTAGCATCCAGTGTTTTTCCTTCATTTTACAGTACGTCCAACAGTTGTTTTAAATTGCTGTCATAACTTTTCTGCCCCTAGTTGAAAATATGTTTTCTGAAAGCAGGATTGCTTTACCTCTGTCCCTTAAAATAGAAGATGGTGTTGATAAATATGTGAGGAGTAAAGGAGTTAGTAGGCAGAATGCTACGGTTTAAGTATTTGGGGCTTAAGATAGAAAAGTAGACAGGGAGAGAACATATTTAGAGACTTTAAATATCACTCTCTGAAGTTTTTATTTGGTTGTTCCTATGAGAAAGTCTTAGTTTCAGTGCTTGTACATAACTATTTGGGTAACTGGCACTTAAATCACTTTTAAAAGTTATTAAAACTTTTTCTATGAAATTGTTAAAGTCTAGAAAGACCTTCATTTACATATAAAAATTTGACATAGTGTAATACTGTTGATGATTGTGTAGGTAGTAAAGCTGGAACAAGAATCTAGGTATCCCTGTCTGCCATCTAAAGCTCTTATACCTCAGATAGCTGCCTTCTCAAGGCATATACAGTATTGAAATCTAAGCTATTTCTTAGTGACTGAAATAGTGTAAGAGAATCAATTTCTAAGGACTGCCATGTACACTCAAAAGGCTTATGATCTTGTAGAGTATCACCCCCAAAGCTGTGCTGTTAGGTGCCTGTGCCATTTACATAGTTTGCTGTGTTGTTGTCTTTGCATTCAGTTCTTGTCATGCCATCATGCAGCAACTCCTACAAATGGGAGGTGGAGGAACCATACATGACCATTAAGCTTCTTTTTAGAGTGACAGAAACGTTCTAAAATTGGATTATGGTGACAGTTATACACTGTTAATTTACTAAAAGTAATGGGGATTGAACCTAGGGCCTCCACACAGAGCTACATTCATCCCAAACCCTTATGGTAATCTAAGTTTAAAGAATAGGATTCGTATACATGTTAATTGGTTATGATCTTTAGGTTATCTTATCGAGGTCTTGATAAGCTCTGAGTGATTTCTTATCTTTCTCACTCCACCTCCACGCACATGCACATACATGCACACACACACTCTCGTACAACTCTTCAAAATTAGAAAAGATGTCTGTTTTGTCTCCAAACCCGTCTCTTCTGCCAGTTTTGTCTTACCTCTGAGCCTAGGTATGTGCTATGTATTGTAAGTAAACACTTGAGATTCAGGATGTGTTTTGCGTTCTTTTTGATTTTTCAGCATTTTGATTTGAATCCTTGGATGCCCGTTGGACAAACACTTGAAATCTGCACGTCATCGTCAGAGTGTAGCAGGACCATCAGGCCTTTCCTTTGTGTGGGGAGGAGAGAACCTGTGTGCTGTGGAGATGAGCGGGGAGCAGCAGCTTGATGCAGGTATTGGTTTTTCTGAGTATAATTTGGTCTGCAGAGTACAAAATTGTATTGCTTACCTGTGTTACATTGTCTGGATTTTCTACCACTGAGGAAAGTCTTTGAAGTCATTTATTGTTTTTCATTGCCATTTTCTGTGTCTGTCAGAGAACCTGACCTAAGCACTACTAATAAAGTTTGCTGAAAAAGTAAGTAATTTTTACAGACAGACTTTTTTAAAGCAGTATTTTTGTTACTTCTAATTATTTTTGTTACTTCTAATTATTTTGAAACAGTTATCAGTTCTAAGGAAGTTGTAAAGATAATACACACAGGTCTTGTGTTCACCCATTTTCTCCCATTAATTCATTTTTATAGCTATAATATAAAACCTAGGAAATGATATTTGTATAAAGTCTTTGCAATTCTGTGTCATTTTACCACACATACAGATTCCTGTGTTTGCAACTTTATTCAGGATATGGGACCATTTCATCACCGTGAAGAGCTCCCACCCCTCCTTTTCATATTTCTCCCTAAATTCAGAGAACTGTTTTTTGTTTTGTTTTATTTTTGCCATACTGGGGATTGAACTTGGGTCCTTGTGCTTGCCAGACAGGCACTTATGTCACTGAGCTATATCCTCACCCCCCCAGACAACTGTTAATATGCTTTCTAGCACCATAATTTCCATTATTTAAAGAATCCTACATAGACAGAATCAGTATATAGCCTTTGTAGTTGGTTTCTCTCTGTGGAAATAATGGCTTTGAGATCTATTGAGGTTATTGGTTGTGTCAATGTTATTTTTTATTTCTGGTAGCATTGCATGGATGTATTATAGTTTACTGTTAAGTATTCATTTATTGTACATTTTGTATTTTTCTAGTATCTGGATATTAAAATTCATTGCTATTAGCAATTACATGCATAAGGTTTCAGAGACTATTCTGAGGACAGTTCTCTAGATTAGAGCTTTTGTGAAGAAACTGTCAGATGATTTTCCAAAGTTGCCATATCATTTTCATTATCACCAGCAATGTCAGAGACATAGTTTCTCTACATTTTTACAATCATTTTTGATAATCATTTTTATTGAAACCATTCTGATAGTTGTGTAGTGACAGTTCATCCTGGTCTTAATTTGCATTTCCCTAAAGGCCTGTGATGTTGAGTATCTTTATACACACGTGCTTGGCATTCTTATATCCTCTTTGATGAAATCTGTCTTCATGTCTTTAGCTCAATACTAATTGGTTTGTTTTAGTGCTGAGGTTTTGTTTTTAAAATACAAAACTTTATTGAAGTATAATTTTAAGATGTAATTCACATACCATAAAATTAGACCTTTAGAAATTCTTAACTCAGTAGCAGTATTTTTGTTTTTGCAATGCTGGAGGTTGAATCCAGAACCCTACACACATTAGGCATGTGATCTACCACGGAGCCTTACCCCTCATCAAATTGAGTTATTTTAGTATAATCATAAAATGAGTAAACATCACTGCTAAATTCAGAACATTTTTTTAATCCCCCAAATGAACTATTAGCGGTTTCCTGCTCCATTGAGGCTCTGGAAATCAGTCCTGCTTACTGTCTCTATAGGTTTACCTATTTCTGTTTTTTTGTTTTGTTTTATTTTGTTTGGATTAGTGTTTCAATTTTGTGTGGGTTTTTTTTTTTAAATCCTTTTAAACTCCTGGTATTTTATCTGAAGTAAGTTTCTTTTTAAGATTTTTTTGGGTACATGTTAGTTATACATAATGATAACATTCATCCTAGGAAATTTGTACCCAAACATAATGTATCTTACTTCTTTTTTCTTTCCCATTCCCCTCTCTTCTCTTCAACACTTTTTCCTCATTTACAAAAGTTTTTTTCCCATTTTATACTTCTTTTCTCATTTTGTTTTCTTGTCCCCCTTTCCCATTTGAACATTCACATTTCGCAATATCTGGTAAAACATTTCAGTGCTTATTTATACTTTCCGTTTCTCACAAAACAATATAGTATTTACACATATATGTCTGATTTATTGAGAGTATGGTCTCAAGGTGCACCCATTTAGCTAGAAATGTCTCGGGCTTATCCTTCTTTAGGGTGACATATTACTCCACTATGTAAAAAAATATTTTATCATTGGTTGATGGCCATTTGGACTGTTTCCAAGATTTAGCTATTACAAACTGTGGCTCTGTAAACATGAATTTGCATATGTTGCTGTGGTGTGATGCTTTTAATTCTTACAGGAAGGTGCCACTAAGAAGAGGAATAGTTGAGTCAAATGAAATGCCTTGTTTTAGTATTTTGAGTATCTCCATACTGATTTCCACAGTTACTGTGTGAGCTACACTCCTACCAACAGTGGAGAAGGGTTCCTTTCCCTCACCGGCATTTGTTACTGATTTCTTCATAATAGCCATTCTTTCTGGAGTGAGATGCAATCTCAGCCTAGTTTTAGTTTGCATCTCTAAAATGACCAATAATACTGAACATTTTTTCATATATATTTATTTGCCATTTCAACTTCTTCATCTGAGAAGTTCATTTCAGATGCCCATTTTTTGATTGGGTCTTTTTGAATTTCTTGTAGAATTGAGTAGTGAACCCATCAGGACCTGGGCTTTTCTTTGTTGGTAGTTTTAAAGTAATATATTCATCCATTTCTCAGGTGATGGGCATCTTGGTTGTTTCCAAGATTTGGCTATCACAAATTGTGCTGCTATAAACATAGGCACACATATATCACTATGATATGATGTTTTCAGTTCCTCCGGGAAAATTCCCAGTAGAGGAATAGCTGGTTTAAATGGGATTTCCAGTCCAACTTTTCTAAGGAGTCTCCACACTGATTTCCATAATGGTTGCACCAGTCTACACTCCCACCAGCAGTGGAGAAGGGTTCCTTTTTCCCCACAGCCTCTCCAACATTTGTTGTTGGGTGATTTCTTTATGATAGCCATTCTTTCTGGGGTGAGATGATATCTCAATGTGGTTTTAATTTGCATTACATGGATGGCTAGCGATGTGGAGCATTTTTTCATATAATTATTCGCTTCTTTAATTTCTTCCTCTGAGAAGTGTTTGTTCATCTCAGATGCCCATTTTTGGACTGGGTCTTTAAATTTTGGGGCCCTAGTGTTATCGAAGAATTTAAATATGCTCAGGGGACTGGGGTTGTGGCTCAGTAGAATAAGCACTTGCCTGGCAAGCACAAGGGCCTGAGTTTAATCCCCAGTTCTGCCATAAATAAATAAATATAAAATAATGTATTCAATTTCATTCAGTGATACTGATTTATTTAGAAGTTTTATATCTTCTTCATTCATGGTTCTTGATTCATATCTTCTTGATTTGGTAATTCATATGTATCTAGGAATATGTCCATTTCTTCTGTGTTTTCTATCTTATTAGAATATAAGTTCTCCAAGTAGTAATTGATTATCTTCTAGATTTCTGTAGGATCTGTTGTGATTTTTCCCTTTTTACTCCTCTAATTGCATGCATTTGAATTCCCCCATTAGTTTTGGTAAGTTAAGCTATGATTTGGTCAGTTTTATTTAACTTTTAAAATAATTGACTCTTATTGTATTGTTTTGTTAGTCTCAGTTGCATAATTTCTGCTCATTACTTTCCTCATAGGAGCTTTGGGTTTGATTTGCTTTTATTTTTCTAGAAACTATTTATTTGGTACAAGGTCTCACCACACAGCTTGGACTTACAGTGATCCTCCTGTCTCAGCCTCCCCAGCACTGGGATTACAGGCACACCACCAAAATGGCATGGCATGTGGTACCAGGGACCAGAACTGGGTCCTTGAGCTTTTCAGGCAGAAGCTTAGACCACTGAGTTATTCT